CTGCCTATCAGTGAAGCAGAAGGTTGGGGCCAGGATCTCAGCAATGTTAGCTGGTAGAACATTGCATACAGGAGCACAGAGAGTTTTGGGAACTAAACTAACATGCAGACATCAGTTTAACCCTGATGGATAAGATTATGTATTGACTCTCTATAAAGTTTTCTTCTTATTGTAACAGTCATTGGTCATGGGACAAAATGTGCAACAGTCATTGGTCAGGGGTCAAAATATGCAATAACAAGCAAGTAAACATGTGAATGTTATGTTAAATAGTTACATGGTTAGTCGGGTTGAAAAAGACACATGTCCATTGAATTTAACAAAAAGACAAAAAAAATAAAATACATTTGCAGCCTCAGGATCCTTAACTGGTAGTTGATGCAGGGGAAGGCCCATAGAAAGTGTGATCCAGTTTACCATAACAGTAACAAAAGGTCTTTAGTGATCCCCAAAGGCCATTGGATGCTCCGTGGATCAACGATCTACAGTTTGATTTCTTATAATTATTAACAGCCAGTTTTATTCTATGCATTTAGAAAGACATCCAACTATTTTGAAGCAATGTGAGTTGACTCAGGTCTTTTGAAAAATTATTCTAAATTTTCAGAGCTACTACTGTAAGGCACAAAAAGTGTTCCCTTGTCTAATGCAATTACTTTAAAGTAAATAACTTTTCACCAAGTTTAGAGTATGTATATATTGTATTTATACAAAGTAAATATTCAAAGTGATCATATTCTGTCTTAACTGCCTCTTCTCAAAGGAGAATACATTCAGTTCAGTTAATATTTCCTCAAACCAAGCACCTACATGTCCCTTATTAGGCTCCATTCACACCTGTATTTTAGGTGTGATTAGGGATTCCTGTGTCAGGAACTTGGGATTTCCTGCAGCTGGAATCCCTATTCTGCCACTTACAAGCGGTCAAGGTTAAAGATTGGGTGACAGCCACTGCATTTGAGCACCAACCCACTGCATGTAATTATTTACTTTCCCTGGACGCATCAATCATATTTTAGTCTCCAAGACTCTATATCAGGGGTCGGCAACCCCCGGCATGCGTGCCCGGCTTGGCACGCGAGGCCACATCGGCTGGCACGCAGGCCCGGATTTCCCACAAGGCCACCGAGGCCCGGCCTCGAGGCGGCAGCGGTGACCCTGTGGGGAAGTTGCGGGCGCCGGTGTAAGGTATCCGGCGGCCGCACACTGCGGTCAATGGCACTCGGTGTGTAAAAGGTTGCTGACCCCTGCTCTATATTTATCAACATTAAACCATATTTTCCATGTAGTTGCCTATTCCAGTCCACCAGGTCTGTTTGTAGGTCAATGATATCCTGTGGGGACTTTATGTGAAAAATAATTGCAGGTAAATGTAACAGTAATAACTCAAAATGTGTTAAATAAAAATACTATATAACTTTACTGTAGGCTAATATTCAATGGAACACTTATAAAAAAAATGTGTATCTTTTTCCCCTTTTTTCTCTAAAGGGTTTTGATCCAGAAGATGGAGTCCCATATGAGAAAAAATTCTGTGACGGTACTGTACATACATTTTTGCTTCGTTATACGAATGTTTTGTTTATTACACACATACGTGCACATTCACAAATGCAGATTGTCACATTATCGTAACACAATTACTCTGCTCTGTGATCAATGAAGCAGGAAGCACTGCTACAGAGCAGTCACAAACCCAGTTGAAGTGCCGGGTAAACAGACAATCAAGCACTATCCTGTGCTTGAACATCTGTATTGGAGGACAAGAGAAACATCAGGGGTCTAATAGACACCTGATGTCTCCATAAAGAAAACTTGTCACCTCCAAATGCTTGTTAGCCCTTTTGTGATAGCAAGTTAAATAAAAAAATATTAAGGTGCTACAAAAGTAGAGAACAATACAATAAAATTATGCATATGGATATAGTTTCAGCTCGTAAAAAAAACCTGTACATTGTACTTTGCATGATGTCTCTAGTGACTTTATGTGACTTGTTATATGGATTTTCAGGTTCCGATGCAAAGGGTATTGTAGTGTTAGGAGACTCAGCAGCAGCCCACTTCCACATCCCCCCTGACTGGGTTACACCTAGCCAGTTTTCTAAGGTAAGCAAACATTTATTTTGACTATCTATGTAATGATAGTATATTTGTAACTTTAGAAGATCTACCATCAGCTTACATGTATTCTAAAACATAAAGAACCATTATAAATCAGGGATATTTTTACTTAGAGTCCACCTACAAAAAGATCTAAGGAATGTTGGCTAAAGACAAAGCTCATAAGACGAAACAAAAACAGAGCAGTCAACCATATTATTTAGCACAGTTATGCAATAAGAAGCCACCTCTCATCATGGTCACACATATTCACTTGCTAGTTCACATTGTACAAAGGGGGAAGTGCTTCACTCTCCAGTGACCCAGTTTGCTCCTCGAGAGCTTTCAACCAAATACGTTCTAAGTTCACATTCTTCCCATTAACACTGTGGGATAACAATGCAGTCATTTGGAACTAGTTTAATTTGTACTCACATTCTGCCCAGGCACTTAGATGGGACTTCCTCCATAAATCAATGCATAAATCAATAACTGTCTGAAGAAGTCCGACTAGTCCAGCACACACTGTATGATCAGAGGGCATTGCTGGGAAATATGACCAAATGACAGAGCACCTTTACTTATATTTTTCAATAGAAAGTTTGCTCTGTTCCAGCACATAACTGTGCTCTATTTATTAAGTATAACACAAGAACTGCCAGTGTTACCTATAAAAACAGACTCTTCATTTCATTTTCCACCTTGCACTGAGACAGTTGGAAGCAGATTGTGTATTATAGGCAGTAGTAGGGATGTCCCAATACCGATGCCTGGCTCCACTCTTCCTGAGACCTATCTGCACAGGAACAACACAGCAAGCTCCCAGTGATGATGTGACGTCACTGAGCCATGCTATGTGGGATAAAGAAGGCTGTTATCATGAAATAAGTATATCCCATCAAAGCAAGCAATTAATACTTACCAATTCACCTGCCTACATACCTGTGCTGCCGAATTTCACTTGGTTAGGAAACAGACGCTTGATAAAAGACTTTCTGGATTTCATATTGCATAGTGTTGGATGCTGCCCCCTCTGTGTTCTGTGGTTTCCTCCGCCAGCTCCATCATCATTACAGGACACAAGAGTCTGTGAAATGAGCCACAACACACAGCAGGGAACTAGGCATCCAACACGCCTAGCTGCAGGACAGGTAAGTATTTCTTATTTGCTTTGTAAGGTGACCTTTATTTCATGTTTTTAAAAAGCCGCAGAGTCACTTTAAATCATATCTAAACCCGAAAACAAAAGTGTAATATATTGCAACTTTTTTGTGTAAGTTTTTTTTCATGTTTTTTCCCTTTATTTTCACCTGGTGATCCTCCCAGTAACACATTTTCAGTCCCAGGGTGACAGCCCTGGTTCACTGTACTGAATCTATGGAAAAGTAGTGTGATCAACCTAGGATAGGAATTGTGTTAGGACTACAGAGCATCATTAACTAACTTTCCTAAATCCCCACAATAAATCAATTTGATTTGCGCCTCACCCCCTTAATAGACTAATAACAGAAACATTTTGTGTGGGGTTTTAAGAGGCTCACACCATTAATCTATGGACAATGTGAATACCAATTAGCCCATGTCATCCAATATTTCCTCTTAATTATTCCATCTAGATCTTCACAATCATATTTCACTTGTGGCATGCATTTGCTTTCCCGACATGTTTCACTGGTATGCTTCTTCTAGGAATCAGAGGCAACTTATCTAGTGTAAACTAAACACATAATTACTGCACTGTTTTAACACTAATTACATACATTATATATATTCATCTACTTTTACATTATCCAATAAACCATCAGAAATGGCAGTCATGTTTGCTTCTACTCACCCTTCAGGGTGTCAAGATAAGGGCAGGTCCTTTCCAGCAGAAGAAGGACACAATGAACTATGCATCCCCCCCTATTGGATTTGCGGTGGGACCATAGGGATAAAATTGAGGAGGATCCCAGTCTGCTTATATACTTCTTATGATGTTGTATAAAATCACCTCCAAACATTTGATACCATAGGTGCTAGAGGGAATTGTACAAAAATACTTCTCAATGGTCTATTCAGCCAACAGATTTACCATCACATCAATGCAATCATTACATATCATTATATCTATCACTCCCATCTCATCTACCTCACTTCATTGCATCTGTGTACCAATGAGCCTCCACATGTTTAGTCTGTGATGCATTGTGAAATTCCCTGTGTCCCTCATCCCTCCCCCCATTATATTGACCACCTCTATTCAATATTCACCACTTCAAATTATCTTTCCCATTTCCACTCACCATTTACCCCTACCTCATTTAGTGACATCATGCTTGTATCTAGCAGATATGTGTCTACAGAACACCACAACCTCTCCTCATATTTATAACATATTCAGAATCATCAGAATAGATTTACATCATTTAAAGCAAATACCATTATACCTGAAACAGAAGAACGCTTATACAAAAAAGATCAACAACACACAGTAGTTTATATTTATCCAAATTAAACCAATTGAAGCTTTAGATACATGTGGTTCTATCTAAAACGTTTATCAAAAAAATATTTTCTTATCCATTTTGATGAATGACTTTTTATTCAAGATGATTTGAATTTAAAAGCTTCTTTTTTATTGTGTTTTTTATTTATTCCATATGAGGTTGTTGTTCTATAATATTAACATTTAGTCTAAAAATAACAATATTGTGGAAGCATCAATCCATCCTGTATTGTTTTCCTTAAAGCAGAATAATATATTCCCTTTTATCTAAAGCATCATGTGCACATAGCATGAGGAATATAAACAGTACGTCTAGTCTCTATTGCTCACACATAATCCATTGTATGATTGTTCTCTTTGCCTGTGGATATCGACCAGCCTTTGTTAGATTAATCTTTTGTCAGTGTTTCTTCGCTGTATATTATGGATCAGCTTTTTTTTGCAGAGTTTGGAAAAACACTAAAATGCATTGCTTTAAACATACAAACTTAAATGCTGTTATACCTTCTTACAAACCAACATATAAAATAATGCATATTTCTAAAGTCAAATTTTTGTGTTATTCATATGTTAGCCATCTGTTAGGAGATGCAAAGGATTCTGTTCGGAGGCGTTACTACAATTTTTGGCTGAAGATCTACAGTAAATCTACATTGTACTTAAGTCATTATAAAAACACAAGTTTACAATGAGTGAGAGCAACTGATACCAATTGCATTGAAGTACTGCTGTCTGAGGTATAATATTTTAGACTGTGTTCACACCTCAGCGTCAGCATTTTTAGGCTCAATTCAGGTGTTTTTTTAAGGGGTCTGTTCACAAAGCTGCCGAAGGGTCTAGTCATAGCTTCGGCTGATCCTTCGGCTAGCTTCGGCCCCAGGACCCCTTCGGTTCTACTGCTATTCAATATAGCCCGTACAGCTCCCAAAGTTGAGCCGAGGTTACATAGTTACATAGTATTTGAGGTTAAATAAAGACATAAGTTCATCAAGTCCAACCTATTTTCATCTCATTCCTAGGAGTACTTGTACCCCTGTATATTACGTTCTCTCAGGAAATCGTCCACACTTTTAGCTGAATCACTGCCGGCGACAGTGAGTTCCAGACCGTAACTGCTCTTACTGTGAAGAACCCCTTCGCCCCTTGTGCTGGAATTTTTTTTCCACTAATTTTAGGTGATGGCCTCTAGTTTTTGTAATGTGGTTAATCTTAAAGAGTTTGTTGCTGATGTTGTTGTCACCATTGAACATTTTGTACATGAAAATCATATCCCCCCTTAATCTCCTTACTTCCAACGTGAACATGTTTAAATTTAGTAGCCTTGTGTCATAGCTCAGGTTCTCCATTCCCCTAATTAGTTTGGTTGCCCTCCGCTGGACTCTCTCCAGCTCAAGGACATCTTTTCTGAGTACTGGTGACCAAAACTGGACCGCGTACTCCAGGTGAGGCTGAACCAGCGATCTATAAAGTGGTAAAATTATAGACTTGTCTCTACAATACATCCCCTCTTAATACAGGACAAGACTCTACTTGCTTTGTTTACAGCAGCATGGCACTGCAAGCTACCATTTAGTTTGTGGTCTACCATGACCCCCAAATCTTTTTTTATTTCTGACTTCCCTAGTGGGACACCAATATGGGACCCAGCACAGAGCCCTGAGGCACACCGCTCATTACACTAGCCCAGTCTGAAAAGATGCCATTTATGGATACTCTCTGTACGCGTTCCCGTAGCCAGTTCTCTATCCATGTACACATGACTTCATCTATGCCCATAGATCTCAGCTTGTGTAGTAAGTGTTTATGTGGTACCGTATCAAAAGCCTTTGAGAAATCCAGATATACCACATCTACCGGCCTCCCTCCATCCATATCTCTACTTACCCCCTCATAAAAAGTTATCAAGTTAGTCTGGCAGGAACGGTCTTTCCTGAACCCATGCTGGTTGTCGTTAACTAAAACATTAACATTATCCTGAACAAATTCTACCAAATAGTCCTTTATCATGCCCTCTAGCAGTTTACAAACTACCGATGTAAGACTAACTGGTCTGTAGTTCCCCGGTTGGCATCTTGGCCTCCTTTTTGAATATTGGAACTACCGTAGCCCTCCGCCAATCACTTGGGACTCTACCACTCATTAAGGAGTCCTTTAAAAATGAGGAATAACGGTCTTGTTATAAGCTCGCTTAGTTCCTTAAGTACCTTGGGGTGTAGATTATCTGGTCCCAATGCTTTATTTGCATTGAGTATAGTTTAAGTCTTTGTTGTATCCCGGTTTCCGTCAGCCACATAGGTATATTTTGTGTTGAACTATATGTTTTATCATGGACGTTGAACCCGTTTCCCTCCTGAGTGTATACTGAGGAGAAAAAAGTGTTTAGCGCCTCGGCCCTGTCCGTGATAGGCAAAGCTGGCCGAACAGCCTGCTACTGACAGCTGGGTGGAGCCAGCCGTCATCTCACGGCTGGCTCCGGCCACTTGCAGAGACAGATCAGTGTCCCCTGGTTACCAGGATG